AGGGAGTTTGCTCAATTGCTTGAGTCACAGGACCTGTTTTGCAAATACCACATTTTGCCAAAATACCAATTTTCTTTAAATTGTGAGCAATGGGAATAGGTTTCCTTTTTTAATTTCAGAAAATTACTTTGATAATTATGCAGAAATAAAAATAACTGGGTGTCTGGGCTCCTTGAATGTCTGCCAAAGTCGTCCCAGCACCTGAAGACACAGATCCTCAGGCTAATCTCAGAAATGAGCACAAGGTCATGACGCCTAACCTTCCTCGAGTACCAGGTGTTCGAGCTCCATATTACAATCTTTCATTAGCTCAAGAAGTGTTCTCCGCTACGAAAAGAAAGGCAGCCCCTCCTGATTAATTACAATCTTGACCCCCCCCCCCCCAAAATGCGGACTCTAGCAGTCCAGGCACCTCCTTATTAAGATGCAACAAGCCAAGGCTATGCATGTCCTGCTGGGAACTGCAGTTTTCCGTCGACCTTCAACCACTGGCTGCGCGAAACCTATCAAGCGCCCAACCGGCGACCCGGGCGCCAGCAGCCTCAATTGGTCCTAGACTGGGGCAGCGCGGGGCTGATTGGATGGCATGTCCCCGAAGCCGTGCCTCCCGTCCTACGCCCGCCTCCCCGCCACCTTCTCTTCTCCACGCCCCATCCCTATTCAGCAATAACCCTCAAGTCATTCCAGTCCATCGAACTGCCGAATTGACTGCCTCGAGGGCTCACCGCGGACTCTCGCGATAAGGGCGGCCCTGAGACACGCCTCTGTCCCCAGGCCTAGGCAGAGCCAAAGCCTCCCTTATTTTCCGCCGGCTGCCGGGAGTCAGTTTCACCACGCGCTCTCTCCCGGCGCCCGCGTCCTCACCTGGGCGGTGGAGGTCACGCCGGATAACTGACAGGCTCGCAGCATCTCTGCGGGGCTGACCGCGCTGCAGGTGTAAGTGGGAGCTAGGGCAGCGGCGCAAGTAGGGGAAACCTTGCGTCCGTGCGTGCTTGCGTCCGTGCCGCCTCTCCGCGCCGGGCGTACCGGAAGGGCAGCCAACGCCACTGCGCACGCGCAGCTCCCTCTCGCCCGTGTCCAGGCCGCTGGGAGAGGGTGGGCCCTGCTTAGACGGAAGGGGCGATTTCTCCTTCCGGGTCGCGCTCGGGGCTCTTGGCTGTTACCCCAAGCTCGGGTTACTGGGTGATTGAGGTGGGTAGCAGTGCGTCTGGACCTCGGGCTCTGGTCCGCGCGGAAACCGGGCAGGTGTGACTCCGGAGAATTCAAACAAGAAAGCATCTCAGCTGTTTCTGTCAGCTGGATATTTCGTAGAAAGGAATGGATTTGCCCAAAGTTACGTAAACAGTGGTGTTGTCTCGGTTTGCGCGTTCTGTTCGTTTGGCAGCCCTTCTTCCGGGAGTCATCCTGCTTGTGGGAGACTGGGTGAAAGAACACTGGGGAGATCTTTGTGCAGAATGTGTCGTTCAGGAATCTAATAAATAGCACAGCAGGAATAGAAACCCTGATTCTTCGGGTTCCACAGCTTCTACTCCTTCATATTAAACCACACCGCCTTCTTCACCAAGTTTTTATTTTAGAAAGATAATTTTGGTCGCAATCTGTGGGATGGATGGGAAGATGAGGTCAGTGCAGAAACACTGTTCAAAGTATTCCACTGAGCCTGTAATCAAGGTAACACACGTTAAATACTGAACACCGTATTCAATGCTATTAGTACTAATTATGATCTTACCGTCAATATATCGTAGAAACTAAATAACTTGTGTGTCTCTTGCGTTTGCAAAGTACTTTTGAGGGGACTGCGTTCTACTTTGGTGGGAATAAGACTGAATTGACGC